CCCTACATTTATGTATGTCATGGTATTGTAAGTTGTCCGCCTTTTTTGTGTGTTCCCCGGATTTTGATCCCAAAGATCATTGGTATTTTTTTCAGAATTGTGTCTGTGGTGAGTACTGGTTTCTAACCTGCGCGTTGAAAAAATAATAGGAGAAAGCAAAACTGTGAAGATGTAACGATAGTGGGGGCCTACCATACATGTTACGAGTTGTGCCCTTGAGTGAATTGAATACTTTATTTTTTCTCAACTTCATCAGTGTTGTATATAGTTTTCTACCAAATTCTTGCTTCTAATTGCCTGGAAAATGTTGATTCTTTATACATTATTCCTTGTTTGTCGATTTCCTGAAATTCAGTAACTTGCTTATAGGCTGTTTTGTTCATTTTTCGTATTTTTGTTCCTTCTTTTAAATTTTTAATTTGTCTGCCTTTGAGAAATTGCAGGTATGTCGGCAATATCCAAATCCAGGTGACGGAAGTTCTTCTTCAAGAGGTTTTTGCGAGCACTGGTCCTGTGGAAAGCTGCAAACTTATTAGAAAGGAGAAGGTAAGTCTGTAGATTGCCAGGTCATGGCGTACTGATTATGGTATTATGCATTAGTGTATTTTTTCCGACCAAATAAACTTTTCTTTTACTTGCTTTCGCTTCTTTATGTGATCTGGTGAAGGTTGACATGTTATTTTGATCTTATGATTTGAAAAAGCAGTCATCTTATGGGTTCGTTCACTATTTTGATCGAAGATCTGCTGGCCTGGCAATCCTTTCTCTCAACGGAAGGCATTTGTAAGTTAATTGCTCGACTAATAACGTGTTATAGATTATTGGTAGTGAAGATATTTGAATTTTTTTCGACTTTTGGATTAGATTTATATCGTTTTATGTAATTTACAGGTTCGGGCAGCCTATCAAGGTTAATTGGGCTTATGCGAGTGGCCAGAGGGAGGATACATCAAGTTGGTTCATGCTTTTATGCTTGACTTTTTGTTGCTGAAGTAGTCCGTGTACTGTTTTCTTGGTATAAATGACCATCATGTTTTTTAATTTTGATATGCAGGTCACTTCAATATTTTTGTTGGGGATCTGAGCGCGGAGGTTACTGATGCAATGCTGTTTGCTTGCTTTTCTGTTTACCCAAGTTGCTCGTAAGTTTTCCTAACTGAATGCTGCTGAAATGCTTTGAATTGTTATAGATTGAAAATCGAAGTTTATGATTAGTATCTGTTGGATTCAGGGATGCAAGGGTTATGTGGGATCAAAAAACCGGCCGCTCAAGAGGATTTGGATTTGTTTCGTTCCGTAACCAACAGGTACATATTTTACATTGTTGTCTGCTCATAATCCTTGGTGTCTTGTTTTGCTCATCTGATGCATGTATCGATTCCTGACACCTGTTTTCTCATGCAGGATGCCCAGAGTGCGATAAATGACTTAAATGGTGAGGATGGTGTTAGCTTGAGTTCGATTCATTAAATTTTTTGGACAAGAGAGATGTTCTTAGGAACATCTCTTATACTTATGTTATTGAAAATGTCATTTTAAAGAGATGGGACGGCTCTTTGTGTAAGCTTTTGTATGTCAATGGCAGTTCAAGGCGTTCTGTTCATCTGGTGGCAATATTCATAATTATAGGATATTTAAGTTTTGATTGATTGTTGGTTCATTTATCTTTTAGGGAAGTGGCTTGGTAACAGGCAGATAAGATGCAACTGGGCGGCAAAGGGAGCCAGTTCTAACGAGGACAAGCAGAATTCTGACTCCAAAAGCATTGTGGAATTAACTAGTGGTGCATCGGGTATGTTTAAGATGTAACTCTCAGTTTTTCCTTTGCCTCTTTGTCGTGTTTCAATCCTTACCACAAAAAATGGAATCAAACAAGAAATAGACCGACAGCAGTTTCCAGCTATCCAAGTTTTTATTCTGTTTCCTTTTTTATGGAAACACTTTTATGTTTCTCTTTTCCTCAGTGATAAATGTTATGGTTTTTCCTTGCAGAGGATGGTAAAGAGACAGCAGATGCTGATGCTCCGGAGAACAATCCTCAGTACACAACAGTTTATGTTGGCAATCTTGCTCCAGAGGTAAAATTTAGTCGGTCTTTGGATTATAGCTCTCCATATCCCAAATCTGTTGCAGATAATATGACCCTTCTTCTGTCTGCCGTTACGTTTTCAGGTAACTCAGCTTGACCTTCACCGTCACTTCCATGCTCTTGGGGCTGGAATCATCGAGGAGGTTCGTGTCCAGAGAGACAAAGGCTTTGGGTTTGTGAGATACAGTACTCATGGCGAGGCGGCCCTCGCCATTCAGATGGGAAACACACATTCGTACCTTGGTGGCAGGCAAATTAAGGTATAAAAACACCCGATTTTTACCTAGTTTGGCTTAGATTCTTCGATTTAATGCGACAGGTTTAGAAAAAAAAAATCGGATGAGTGATGCAGTGCTCGTGGGGAAGCAAGCCGACTCCGCTGGGGACAGCATCGAACCCGCTTCCACCGCCGGCTCCAGCAGCAGCAGCAGCAGCAATGGCAGGATTCTCGGCTAGTGAGCTAATGGCCTACGAGAGGCAGCTGGCAATGAGCAAGATGGGGGGAGTGAACCCTCTGATGCACCCGCAGGGTCAACACGCGTTCAAGCAGGCAGCAGCGGCGGCGGCGGCCATGGCAGGAGCGACTGGT